CATGTCTTTCCTGAATGGGTTTTCTTTCATGTTAGTCTTTCCTGAAGATGTTTTTGCAGGTACGTTCACACAGTGTGCATGTATATACATATCTATCTATCTATCTATCTATCTATCTATCTATCTATCTATCTAAGAGGTAGTTGGCTGTTGAGGATGTACAATCATTTATTTGAAATGCAATTACATTGTTCTGAACTGCCAGAAAAGGTTGGGATAAGCATATTAGGAAAATTCTGCACATTCGGTAGGGACATATGATGCCCAGAAATCTGTTCCATTTGAGACCAATGGAATTCCAAAGCATTTCTGGTCCAGTGATTGGAAATGGACCATATTGGAGTTGTTTCTGCATGTTCCAAGAATGTGCATTGAATACTGAGATCTGCATGTTTGTATTGACATTTTTTGCAAATGGTGATTTATGCAACTTATGCCTTTTGCAGAAGGTGAAGCCTGAAATGTTTAATTTGTGTAAATGTAACACAGGGAACAACAAATTCCTTCAGTAAATAACCATAGTAGTTTCATTCCTTTCCCTTCATTCCTTGGCTGGCTATATTCCTTGCCATTGTCATTTTTTTCTAGTTTGGTTTTATCATGCCTAGGATTTTCAGCTTGGATTACATGATTTGTGCATAACAAGCAAATACATTTGAAAATATTATTTTCCGTTACTGCTTTTCAGTTCCTGGGATTTGTGCAAACAAGGTCACAGTTCTTTGGTCTCCCCCTCTCCCATTCCCTTCAGTATTATGCACGCAATATCTGATTTCTTTCAGCTATGTATTAATTCTGAGAAAGACTGCTTATTGCATCCATTTCTTTATGATTATACTGCTGCCGGTGGGGCTTTGCCCTGAGGGGGCTTTGCAACAATGTAGGTCCAGCATCAGAACAACCAACTCAAGTTAGGTCACCCCATGTGAGGCAGAGACTGTAAACAGCAATGCTGATGTTTTCTGCAGAACTGCTCCTTTCTTCCAAAGCAAACCTCTTTTTCATCTGGAAAATCCCCATGTAATCCTGTAACTATTGAGCTGGGCCCCTTCACAGTGATTTCACAAAATGGTGAATTCTCCCCTAGACTGGTGCACTGACTCCTCTGAGTTTCTTACCAATAATCACTTGGCAGATCAACCTAGCAAAACAGCTCAGGAGCAAGTTCAACAGAGTGGCTGAATTTACACAATGAGGCAAGTGACCCTGTGTGGTGTCCATGGTCCACAGTTTGTCATCATGATCTACTTGACAGGTGATCAAGTGTTCTCTATGCTATTGTTTCCATCCTCCCTCCTCCCCCTGTTGGTGCATATCCCATCAGCCACTGTTCCAAGGTTTGGATTCAATCCAGTCCCCCTTCCTATATCATCTGCCTCTTTCTCATTGGTCTGCACATAGATGCTGGATGGCTGGAGCAGCTCTTGCAGTTGCCACTCCTTCCAAAGGATTCTGGGGTAGTTGCATACCATGGTCCTGGGTTCAGCCAACATAACAAGCCATCACGGTACAGAGGAAACATAAAACAAACTGCTGTTTCTTATCATGGTGTCTAAGAACCAAACTCACCATGGTGAGTTCCCACAACTGGGTTCAGATGACATGACAGACTGACAATCGTAAAAAAACCACCATGGCTTGTTTTCTTGTCCTATCCACTGAAAAACACAGTCAAAGTGCAGAGTGAGGAGAAAGGCTCTCCTGTTACTTTTCCACATCCTCATTCCTGTGCATTTTTCTCTTCTTCATAATGCCCCAGTGACTCTGTGCCTAACTGTGTCAACATTTATTCAGAGATTATGTATTTCCACATGCACTGACACCAAGGAAACGCCCATTTATGTCCTGAGAGGAGATAACCAGGATATCAGTTTCACCAAATAGCTGACTGTCCCTGGCTTGGATCCAGAATCCTTGTTCTGCCCACAGAAGGATGCTGCCACCTGCAGAACTGCACTTCCTTGTCCTCTGCCACACCCTCCATATCTCCTCTGGAAGGCTGGGGGACCCTCCAAAGGAAATCTGATACATGCAAGGGGGGGGGGGGGTGCAGGAGAAAGAAGCGGATGCAGAAATCCAGCTCTGCCAAAGATCTCCTTCCTCCAGTGGAACAATCAGTCTGGATGCTTTGGACATTTGTTCATTTGCTTGTGTGTTTTAATTTAAGCTGTAAACTGCCCTAGGATAAATATTATGAAAGACAGCGGTCTGTTGTCTCCAGTATCAGCAGAGCTATGTATCCTCTCTGGAGCTTACTCTGTACTTTTAAGGATCTATCCATGGACTAAAATTTGGACTAAAATCCAGACTGGATGCACAGCTCCTGTGATACTGGAATCACCTGTTCCCACTGGCAGCAGGGATGTGCCTTAAACAAACAGGGGCATTATAATCTTTGGCAAGGCCCAGGGCCTTTATTTATGTACTTAGGAAATGTATCACAAGCTTTTCTTTATACATAACATCCAAGGGATAACAACAAGCAATAAAACACAGTAAAACTAAGGCATTCACCAAGCCCCTGCAGACAATCGAACACTGATAAAAGGCTGCTTATGTAGCCCCCACTGCCCTAACATAAAACCAGTCCTAGGCCTGGATAAGCAAGCAGGTTTTCAGCTTGCATTAAATGTTTGTAAGTCTCAGAGCCGCCCGTTTATGACGGGGCCGGGAGGCCCACAGCTGGGCTGCCTGTAAGGGGAGCCCCCTCTCTTGGGCAGATGAACGTCCAGCCCCAGGGAAATGCGGCACCATCAAGAAGAACTCCCTGCGTGACCTCAATCACTGGGCCAGCTCATGAGGGAGCAGGTGCCCCATCGTGCAGCCAGGACTCAGGCCCTGTGAGGCTTTACCTGGTCAGCCTAAGCACTGATTGGCAGCCAGTGCGGCCTTCAGAATTGGTGTACTTCATTCCGGGGAGGATGTTCCACTTGGCAGCTTAGCAGCAGCTGCAACATTTTGCACTATTTGCAGTCTCCACAGGCCATTCCTGAGGGCAGCCCCACTTAAAGTGCATTGCAGGGGTCCAGTCTGGAAGTTACTGGTGCATAGATTATTGACATGGGGCATTCCTTGGAAACAAGGGAGGGCACTAGATGTGTGATGCAGAGTCCCTGGTTCATCAGCAACACTCCAGGAAGGCGATGTCTGGGATGGGAACGACACACGTTTCCCATCATTCCCTCCTCAACGCAGCCCCAACCTGGCTTTGCCCCTTTGCCTTTCTCAGCAATCCCATGCTGAGGAAATGAAGTAGGGGCAGGTTTCCTGGCTTAGAGGTAAGTGGCAGGAAGAAAACATGTCCCTGTTTCTTTTGCGTTTAGCAAAAGGAGTGACCAGGCTCCGCCGTGTGCAGGCGAAAGCAGCAAGATGGATGTGTGCCTTTGGTGTGAAGGCACACAGTGCTGAGCCCCATGCTGAAGTGAAGCAAGGCAGAGCCTGCTTAATGCCTAAACAGGAGAAGAAAACCATATGCCACAATTAGGATCTTTTCCGCAAGGCTCTTCTTCCATCAGGACCGAGCATGTTATGGCAGGCAGAAATGAGCTAGGTTATTTGTTTCCCTCCTGAGGTGCATGGGCAGAAAAAAGTGGCAACCCTGGAAAGCACAAAGCATAACATCCAGAAAAGGCACACATTTTGGCTGCTGACAAAAGCATGGGGGTCCTGCTAGAGAAAGCAATGCTGCCTTTATAAAACAGGTCTTTATCAGCACAGAGCTGCTGTCTAGTCCTATCCAAAAACCGATTCCACCCAGTTTAATGGCAGTCCTGAGGAGGTTTGATTGCTCTCTTCATTCCCTGGCCTACCAGCTGTACTGCTAAGCTCAGCTCTTGAGCAATTGCACAGAGAACTGAACTGCACTGCACAGGAAGTTGTTGTGAAGGTGGAATTGGCCAAAATAAGCACTAAGTCTAGCAGTCAGGCTTGAGAAACAATATTATTTATTTTATTCAAGGTTAATAAAATAAGCAACATTCAAATATACTTTATTTGTTGGTAATAAAACCCAGCAACAACAAAACCCTCGGCAACACAAGAATGCAAAGTATATCATCCAGCAGTGAAATCCTTTCCAAATAGACCATCGGTGGATCTATTACATAATCCAAGGAAATTGGTTTTCAAACTGGGGTGGGAGTGGGGAGCAGATTTTTTTGTTCTTGCCCAATATGGGGCCACTGTACAGTGGCCAGATGCAAAAGAAGGAAGCCAGGATGTTTCATCACGGCGTAGAGTAGGGAATTTCAGTTGGTTCTGCTTTTTTTCACCCCTGACACAAGCTATCTCCAGTTCTGATCATCTTGTCTAAAAACAGCTATTGCAGAGCTGGAAAATGTGATGAAAAAGGCAACCAAGAGGACTAGGGGCTGGAGTGGGGGATCCCCGTGAGGAAAGGTTACATAACAATTTGGGGTGATGGTACTGTAGGCTAGAAAAAATGCTGGATCATTAAATCATGCTACTGTTAACATCTGTATCAGGCAGATGCAGAACGAGACAGCGGTCTCTTCATCCAAGTCTGGGCAACCTGAGCACCTCGAGCTGTTTGGGTCTATCTCTCCTACCAGCCAAATAAGCATGGTGAGGGACGATGGGAGTTGTAGGGTAAAACATCTCGAGGGCCACAAGCTGGTGGAAATGTTGCTCAGTCAAGGAGGTTAAAGGTAAAGGTAAAGGTTTCCCCTTGACATTAAGTCCAATTATGCCTGACTCTAGGGGGCGGTGCTCGTCTCAGTTTCCAAGCCGAGGGAGCCAGCGTTTGTCCGCAGACATTCTCCGTGGTCATATGGCCAGCATGACTAAACATTGAAGTGCACGGAACGCTGTTACCTGCCCACCGAAGTGGTACCTTTTTATCTACTTGCATTTGCATGCTTTCAAACTGCAAGGCCGGCAGGAGCTGGGACAGAGCAATGGGAACTCACCCTGTTGTGCAGATTCAGACCGGCGACCTTTCGATCAATCAGCCCAGCAGCACAGCGGTTTAAACCACTGTGCCACCTGCAGTCAAGGAGGTTACAAGGTGCCTATTTATTTATATTCTATTTCTATACCACCCTATAGCTGAAGCTATCTGGGCAGCTCAGGAGCATTTTTATTGTGCAATATGCAAATGTCAAAATGTCAAAGTGACAAGAGGTACATGATTTAGTCAGGAGACTGCTAGACCAAAGTGATAAATATGCATTCACAAAACTGAGCACAATATATTGTGTGTCAGAGTCGAAGAGCAGAGCTGGAAGCATCTTTATGTCCATGCCTAGCAAGAAGCTTTGTGAAGGAGCACCATTTGCTGTCATGTCTGGACCTTGCAAAGGCCAAATGCCCCCTCCGTCACTGGCTACAAAAGGAAGCTTCTGCAGCTTCATTAAGTCCAAGCCAAGTCAAGCAGTCCAAGCTGATTGCTGCATTGTCCACACAGGTCTCAGCAGAATTTGGAATATGGTAACAAGCACAGCATGGAAAGAACACCAGTCTCATGAAAGGCCTAGTTAAGGTCTTCATGTATCTTTACCAGTGTGAAAATCCAGGCAACTCTGTGGTGGCATCTTGGCCAGAAGGACAAACTGGGGGTCAGAGGTGAATACTTGTATGGAGACTGGAAATCCCCTGGAATCAGGGGCACCAGTGGTATTTCTTTGCAAAGCTGTAGATCACACCTTTGTAGGCCTCGCGGAACTGCCGGTTCATGGCGGCATAAAGCACCGGGTTGATGCAGCTGTTCAGCCATGTGAGGTTGGCTGCGATCATGTGCACCACAGTGGGAGCCCGGTTTTTGGCATCGAAGATGTTGACCAGCAGGAAAGGGATATAGCAGATGACGAAGAAGAGGAAGACCACAAAGCACATGCGGGTCACCCTGCGAAATTCAGAGTGGGTATCCTTGGACTGGTATGGGCTGGCTTTCTTAGGCGGAGCCACAGCTTGAGGCACATGAGGAGACCCCCCATTCTCAGAAGAAGCTGAGGGGACAGTGGTCTTGGATGTTGACTCAGAGGAGAGTCCCTCACAGGAATGCTGGGAAGGCCCTGCACTGTCCACCCCACTGTCCAGCTCGTGGTAGTGTCCTGGCACAGCCAAGTTGGTCCCAGCCACGTGGGTGCCCTTCAGGCTGGCCTTCTTCAGCCGGTATTGGTCCATGTTGCGGGCAGTGCTCTTGACTTTGCGGTGGATGAGGAAGTAAAAGATCCCGACGCAGCTGAGACCCACCACAAAGTAGAAGGCCATGAGGATGGTGGTGTAGGGCCGGCCACGGATGCGGTGGAAGCTGCAGGTGCAGACTTTGGGCACCAAGACGTAGACAGGCCACAGTGGCGCGAAACTGGCCACGCCAACAACCCAGGTGGACAGGGTGATGAGTATCACCCCAAGGCGAGAGAAGATGCGGTCAAAGAGGGCCGTGTTGGCGATCAGCAGGTAGCGGCTGATGGCAATGAGGCAGAGAGTCAAGATAGAGACGGAGTTGGAGACGAAAAGCAGCATCCCGAAGACCCGACAAAAATCGGCGCCCGTCCGCCAGTGAAGATGCAGATAGGAATCCACGGAGAAGGGCTGTAGGAAGGTGCAGTATAGCACGTCCGCCAGGGTCAGGTTGACAATCAGCAGGTTGACACGTGTCTGCAGCTTGATGTCTGTTGCATAAGCCACCAGGGTCAGCACATTGCCAATTGTGCCGGCAATCGTCACCACGATGCCCCAACTCACAGACACGTAGCGGTAGCCCACAATGGACGGGTCATAGCAGGAGAAGTTGTCAGCAAGATTCTCCATCTTGCGAGGAAGCAGTGCAAGATGTCGCCCTCTAGTGGAAAGGCTGGGAGTTAGCAGGGCAATCTGGTACCTATAGGAGATGTGAGAGGGGAGATGGAAGCAAAAACAGGTGGCAGTCAGTTGGCTTCAGTACAGGCCTCGGAAGCACTTCATCCAACACAAAATCAAATGCAGGGCAGGATTCCTTGGCACAAGGAAGTTGTCATGACCAGTGTCATGAATTGCTTTCTAAAAGCAGGTGCATTCATGCTCTATAGGAACAGTTTCTTTGGCAGGATTAGTCTGCCTGTTCAGTACTGGGCAAGAAAAGGCTCCATCCCGTTTGGGGTCTCTGTCATGATGTGCAGAGGAAAATGGGAGAGAGAAAGAGATCTGTAGTGGGCACTCCATGAATGAAGAGAGGGTTCCTTCTACACTTGCCTTGGTTTACACTTACACAAACGTACACACGCACGCACTCTCTGATTTATATCTTGGCTTCCTCCTGGGATGAGAGATCAAAGCACAACCCTATTCCTTCCTTTTTAGGCCTAATTGGGACGTTACTATGGAAACAGACATGTCCAAATCGTTTCTAACTGGTACCATCCTCTACCTGGTTGGTTCACTGCATGCTGGAGATGGGAAGCGTGGGAGGCAGAGACTGGAGGCCTGGGCTACAAAGAGCTCCAATTAGGCATCTGTGGCTATTGGGAAAGCCAACATGAGCCTTTAAAAATCCTGGCACTACCAGCCCCATTGGGGAGGATGCAAGGGCTACAACTGGGACACTCGGAATAGGAATTGTGGGCAACTGTGCAGCTGCTGGTCTCATTTCACTCGGTCTTTGGTACTATTTCAGAAGCAATCAGGTATCTGACAAAAGCAATCTGCCCCTCCTTTGGCACCACACAGGGCTAGGAGGGGAAGGAGAAAGATAAATAAGGAACTTGCTGGGAGTGGGGAGAAAGAGAGCCGTTTTAGCAGTAGGCCTCACCTCCTGCTGGCATGCAGATCCCAACTGATCCCCCCACTCCCGGGAATGCAGACCAGACTTAGAAATACACACACCACCCTCCATGATGAAAAGGAAACACACATTGTGCTAAATGCTTACTATCTGAGGTTGCCAACTGACCCTCCCCGCAAACACCAGCCGCCCTTCTGATTACCTTTAACAACAACCTGGTGTGCCAGGAGTGCTTTTTGCCAGCTTAGGTGGCTTACAGGCTCTGGTCCTGCTTAGAGAGGTCTGACCTGCCCTTGGTTTTCCTGGCAGAAGCGACAGCCAGGCCAGGCTACTGTGGTGTGATCTGTTGGGCTGCCTTTGAAGATGGCCAGCAGAGGAGCAGCCATTCCTGCCCCAGTTCAAGAAATGAGTCCTGCTGCTCCGGGGTACATCCCTGCTCTCACTCTCAGTGTTCGGTCTTTTTGGCATAAAGGTGCAGCTTAGTGGAGGGGAGAGGACATCAACTCCTGTTGCATGTTTGCCTGTCCCACAGATGCCAAAGGTATACAAGCCATCAAGGAAAGAAGAAAGAATAAGGGTGATACCAGAGAGCCAGAGTGGTTTGGTGTGTGGTGTGTCTGATTATAGGAGGTGAAAATCCTGGTCTGAATCCCCACTGGGTAACCTGGGAAAATCTTTTAATTTTTCTGTTTGTTATAATGACTTTCAAAAATCAAAACCAAACAAAAATAGAGAAGTAAAATGCAAAAAGTGGCTTAGTGAATACACTGATGCCACATACTCCTATATTTTTATATAGAGCAAGATATACTATTCTTAGGAATGCTTACACAAAGAATGCAACAAAGGCAGCCCAGATATCCATACATTTAACCATTCGTAAATTAAACTGAAAAACCACCTGCTCAAAGCCTGAATGCTTCATCCAGTCCTCAACCCCTTCTGTTATTGAAGGCGGCCAGTTGTTTTTCCAGTGGTGTCATAATCATCTTTACAGTGTCCAAAGAATGGGGAGGGGGGGATCCACTTTTGCTGGCCTTGTGTAAAGTTCCAAGACACAGGCAGCTAGTTAGGAAGAACATGAGTGTCCACGGGAACTTTCCGTCACAAAGTTTGTCTATATTATTGCCTCCTCACCGAAAGAGGCATCCATAGGGAGTTGCCAAGGGAGGCACACACGGACTGTATTACACTCCAGCAACTGGCCAATTTAGACAAACCCATATGATAAAGTTGTGGCATCCAGTAAACCTGCAGCATCAGCTTCTGCTGAATTCATCATAACCTGATGGCAACCCCGTCTAAGACAGATGCCAACAAACTGATTCATTGATTGCTTAAGAGCCTGTATGTCATATTTATTCAGCAATAATATATATTTATAAACATGGATTGAGGGTCAGTATCGCTGTTCAGCTCAATCAGTACTTCTACAACTAAGGCAAAGCAATAAAAGCAGTTGGACCAAACCGGGATGCTAACAGCTGTTTCAAGTGCATGCATTGCCATGCAGCTGTAGCTAGCAAATCATGTGCTTTTAATAGCAACTCGGTTCCCAGAAATCATTACTTGAAGATGTTCACAGCAAGGAAATAATGCAGGTCGCTTGTTACTGTCTGCAGGTCAAGCTGCTTCGAAGAGCCCAGAAGTAGGGGCTAGTACAAGAAGAAATCCTCAGTTAGCCACTCAGCCAATACTGAAAGATAATGTCAGCCCTATGTACCACCAGGAGGCTTAGAAAGAACTATGGAGCCCCCCCCCCCACAAGTAAATAACAGCTTAACACCTAAGCTTTGGATGTTCTTATATATAAATGTTAGTATGATAGAAGAAAGTAACTTACTGTGGAAAATTGAGCAAACGACCCAAGCTGGTGCCCTGCGTCTGCAGATCTGGTGTCTCCACCTTTTCTGACACTTTTTATAAGCTTGTGCATGCCCGGGCTGAGGAAACAAAAACTCCCAAGTTTCCAGCCTCCCTGAAGCAACTTCCTCTTCCCCTAAGGCTCATAAATGTCAACTCACCAGAGTGCTTGAAAGAAACTTGCTTTCATGGGTGGTAGAGACTCGCCCACAAAAGCTTATAGGAGAAATTTAAACAAGAGTTTTAAAAGGATTAACGATTAACACTAGCTGGCCTGAAGAAGAGAGAGAGACAAGCAGGGAAGGAGGTGTTGCTCTCAGGTGTGGAGAGACAGAACAAGACAACCTGCTGTGTACATTGGGATATTTGATCATATATCAAGAGCCGGTATGGTGTAGTAGTTAAGAGGAGATCTGGGTTCTAGTCCCAAATCAGCCATGGAGGTAACTTGGTGGCTTTGAGCTAGTCACAGATTCTCATGCCCAACCTAACTCACACGGTTGTTGTTGTGAAGATAAGATTGAGAAGAGGAGGAGAATGACAAGAATGAGAGAGAGAGAGAGAGAGAGAGAGAGAGAGAGAGAGAGAGAGAGTCCATTGAAGGTGGGGTGATGAGCCACGTTCAGCCTGTGGGTCAAATTTAATTTTGGAGAAGCTCTTGAGGACTTCAGCCCCATAGAGGGCAGAATGGAAGGCTGTGTGGACAAAGGCAAACATGGGGAGCAAAAAGACCAGCATATTTTAATTCGAAGCTCTTACTGCCAGAGACTAAGCCTTGGAGAGCATTTTGACCTTTTACAATAGAGAGGGAAATGCACAAATGCTGTGAAACCACCAAAGGATTGGTAACTAGGGGGGAGGAAGAGCAGGAGAGGAGGTATGACTATCTGGGGCACCTGGAGGGCTAGTTTTGGTCGCCAGATCTGAGGTTTTGAATCCCTGGTCTACATATCCAGCAGTTGCATTAGGGGTTTTTAGGCCTGCTGCTGCAGTCTCTTATCCATGCAACAAGGTTAGGGAAACCTCAAAGTTTGCAGGAGAATAAAAATGTGAAGTTGTGCTCCCCTTCCAGCAACTCAGTGAGGACTGAGCACACTCAGTGGTCATAAAATGTTTGTGGCTGGGCAGGATGGGATGACAGAAAATCAGGGCGGGGAGGGAGAACTGCATTGAGCATCCGGCAGAGTCGGCATGGCTGATGGGTCACTGGAATCCAGATTGGGTGTCAGTGCAGTGTGGTGGTGAGAATATTGGACTGGGGACCCGGGAGATCCGGTTTCTGGTCCCCACTCAACCATGAAGCTCACTGCTGGGCTTTGGGCCAGTCACTCACTCTCAGCCTAACCTGCCTCACAGGGTTGTTGTGAGGATAAATGCTGAACCATGTAAGCTGCGTTGGGTTCCTCAGAAAAGGAAAAAAGCAAGATATAAATGCAAAGCTGCTATTATTAGTATTATTATTATTATTATTATTATTATTATTATTCAGGAATATGTTGTGGCAGGTCCTGGATATTGTTGTAATCTGCAGTGAAACATCTCTCAGAGAAAAGTAAATGGGAGAGGTCCAAATGGGTGAGGACACCAAGGCACCAGATAAACTTAAGTGTCATGCAGTAAAAATAGGTAGTAACCAACTAGAGACAGAAATAATAGGTTTGTTGAGATTGGCAGTGCTAAACTATATTGTGAGGGAAACAAGTTTAAATCAATTCTGTAATAAAACACACATCCTAAAATATAATTCTTATTTATTTATTTATTTATTTACTTATTTCTATACTGCTTATAGCTGAAGCTCTTTGGGTTGTTCACAACAACGAAACCATAAAATACAAATGCAATATAGTGTAAAATTCTAAAAGTTTAGAACAACAGTATATAAGACAAAGAAAAACCAAAGTAAAATCCAGCAGCCATTCAAAGATGTAACATACAGTAAGAGATTTAAAACAATAAAAACTTATCTCTCCTCTACCTTCTGACCAAGAATGAAAAGAGAGATTTGAAAAGAGCAGCAGGATTTGCATATCAGCAAAATAAATGGTGCTACTTCTTCTTCTTCTTCTTAGCAGCCAGGCTTATAAATCAGTAGTGCTGTCCTAAAATCATCTAATCCAAACATGTTAACAGAAGTTTTCTTTTTGCAATTTGCAATTGCTTGGGTGAAATGGATAGGATAGTGGTGAAACTGAACAAATTTACCCTTGCTAGTTTCACTCATCTCAGAATTGTCTCCTTCCCAGTTTCACCTGACTGGCAGTGGTAGTGGTGAAGGTTTAGGCAGAGTGCAGCTGATACTAAAAATCAAGGCTACATCTTTCACATCATCTCCTCCTCCAGTTAAGACAGTAGGTTGTATGCAATGTTCATCTGATTTCTTTGCAGTGGAATTGCATCAAAAGTGAAAAAGAATCAAGATAAAGTTGCGCGTGCAAAGCAGCAATGGAGAATGAAAAGTAAAATAGGAGAATATAAGACTTCGGGATGAATTTATTTCTGAACTGACTGAAGAAGAAATGGCATCAATACCACTGAAAAGGGCTAGTGGGGAAGGCCCTGAGACATGTAAAAGCAACACGGGCAGCCTAGGAAGCAAAAGGATGACATTAGACAGCAATGGGCAACTTTGAACCGTCCGGATTCCATCTCCTCTCCAGCATGGACCGTTCCCCTTCTACTGTGCGTGCAGCAAAACATGGGGAGAGAGCAAGCATTAATAGGCATGGCTGGGCCTCTGCCAAGGGCCCACACTCCAGCAGGGATGCCCTAGTCTTGCTCCTCCTCTTCACCACTGCAAGTACAGTGGTACCTCAGCTCACGAACCCCTCAGTTCACGACCAAATCGGGTCGTGAGCAGGATTTTTTTTTAAAAAATTGCCTCAGTTTGCAAACTCCACATTGGGTGATGTCCACGATCATGGCCATGTGGCCACATAAACACAATTGCGATCACGCCCGTCCTCCCTCCCCCCGAGCACGATTGCCCCCGTCTTCCCTGCACGAGCACAATCGCCGTCGTGGCCATCTCGCGCGATTATCATTTGGACTTTCCCTCCAAACAATAACCTCCCCCACCTAGATTAGTGTTCTCTACTGTACTTTGTTACTTTATTGTTCTTTGTTACTTTGTTTCAAACTTTTGTGATAAAAAAATATTTACAGAATGAATTAACCTTATTTACATTGAACCTTATGGGGAAATTTGACTTGGCTCCTGACCAGTTTGGGTCACGACCAGAGTCCTGGAACGGATTAAGTTTGTGAGCCGAGGTACCACTGTACTTATTCCTCCACCCGTTCCTGGCTTGGCCTGGATGACAGCGACAGAGAAAAGGGACAGCCTTTCTTGCCCTTGCCTCTCTACAGTGAGTGACACAGTTGGTGAGTGACCAAGTTGGTGGTGATGAAGATGAGGAAGAGGAAGAGAGCAAGAGCTGCTGGTAGTGGGGGGGGGGTGAGAGGGAGGACTCTTTGAGGGAGGGGGCCCATGGAAAGTGCCTTGCCCAAGGGCCCCCCAAAAGCCAGAGCCAGCACTGGGAAAAAGGGAAAACAAACTTAAGTTGCCCATTCCAACTTCCGGTAGCAAACTCCATCTTGTTCTTCCTCTTAGAAAAGCAAAAGATAAATAAAGGTGGTGAGATGTGGCTGCAGGCCGGGTATTAGCCACCCTAATGGTAAATTTGTGTTGTAAGCCACCCCGAGGCTTCGGCAAGGGGTGGCATAGAAATGTAATAATAATAATAATAATAATAATAATAATAATAATAATAATAATAGCTCTTGCTACAGCCCATGCATGGCGCCATTGTCCCAGCTTTCTTAGCCCCAGGCACGCAGCACTCATGGGCCTGCTCGGTCGGCTGACGGCTGGCTGGCTTCAGCCTGGGGGTCACTGCCAGCCAGGCCTGCCCGAGGGGAGCCGGGTCACACCCATTGCTGGGCAGCCACAATGCCCCATTGCCAGGACTGAGCAAGGGCAGCAGATGCCCAGGAAATGGCATGGGATACCCCACCGTTAGAAAGCAGGTGGGTGGGGGAAGAGCTTGCAAAAAAGGGAGGAAGAGCAGCCAGTGTTGGGAAAATCTGGATAAATCCTGTCAAAAAAACATTACTTCTGTGTGCTTTGCATTGTGGGATCAAATTCTGTACTCCTTCTTGAACCAAGCTGTCACTGTTTAAAATGGCATTCATTCCCCACTCCTTTCTCTCACCTTTAGCTGTAAGCTACAGTAGACAGGCCATTTAGTCCAAATATACATTGTAAATCATCATTGTTGG